AACATATAACTATTTTAAGATTGGCATACTCTTAAATTGGTTTGGTGTTTTTTTTTATTGTTCAGGGGTGCGCTTTTATTCATACGAGGCTACAGTTTGCGTGCATTCACATTTTCTTTCACAGAATGTGATTATTTTTCATTATATCAGTGTAAAAGATGAAAAGATGGTAAAATAAAAAGAAGTGATAGAAAATTTAAAGCAGACATGTCTAATGGTGTGTTTCTATAGCTACTGAAATCAACTTAGGTTCTCAAAACCACGGTTAAGAATTTAAAAGGTAGGATTAAATTTGTGTTTGCTTTTGACTTGGAATTAGAATTAATGGAGGAAAAATTTACTATGATCAAAACAGAGGATAACAGTGAAGATTTAGAAATAGGAGAATTAGAAAATATTTTATAAATAATAATCAAATAATTTATCATTAAAATATCAAATTATAAATAAAATTTCATTTAAACGAGTGTCATTTTTATAAAAATCTTTATTTTTCTATAATCTTTTTTTAAAACTCTTCCTCTTCTAGACAAAGCTTGTATATTTGATTAGACTTATGAATAAAGTAAGTTTTTTTTTTGTTATTTTTCTTTAGTCAACTTTTTATCATGTTGCATGTAAGTTTTAAGAGGTTTGTATGTAAGTATAGATAGCTCAATTTGATTATTTACTCTTTTGTTATATTATGAGGGTATGTTCAAATTATTAATTTAAATCTTCTTTGTGTAATAAGAGATACTTGAGGAGTTTGTTTGTGTGTGGAATTTCTATGAGAGATGATTTTTCTTTTAAGATAAGGGAAACTTGTTTATTTACAGTGATTGATTTCTAAATTGATTGTTTGATTATGATGATGAAATTGAAAATTGCTAATATATTGATTTGAATTGGTGATTTGATTGAATTAAAAATTGTGTTTGCTGAACTAATATTATCTAATTTGCCTATTTGAGGCTTATTTTAAACTAAAACATTATATTTTGAATTAAAACATGATTCACAAGGTTTGATTGTTGGTATGACGCTAGGTAGTACCATAGAATTGTCAAGTACCAAGTTTAAATTTGAAGTCATTGAGTTATAGTGGGAAGGATGCTGGGCACCAAATTGAGACCGTTGGACACTCACTTGACAATAAGTTATAGTGGTTTAGGGTGTTGGACACCAGCCTAAAACCGTTGGGCTCTCACATGACAGTAAGCTTTAGGAATTTGATGCTACGTGTCATAACCCTTGCGTTGGGCGTCACGAGCCTTTCACTTGGAAAAACATGGACATGTATTCATGAAATTAAGGAAGCACTAATTCTCAAAGACTTTACTTCCAAATTCACTCTCGTTTACCTCCAAATCCACTCAAATAAACAAAAATATACTTTCAAATCCTCTCAAATCCCCTCAATCACTCTCCCCCAAATCTATTAAAGTGAACAAGGTCTTAGTGAGCTTTTATGGTGTTGATGATCTCATTAATGCATTCATGTTCCTCTTTTGACCCAATCTATTGCCTTTATTTGGGTATTGATGTTCAGAAAGAACAAGAAATCTGAATGAACTTTTTAGAAGATATCAAAATAGGAGTAGTTTTGTATATAATCTTTTGTTGATTTTTTTATATTGCTACAGTCACTTTATGAATGTGCCTTGTTGTAATAGAAAATTTCATAATTTTTTATATTTAAATATAATATTCAAAAAGTATAAAGAAAATATATGTAAATTTAAAAGTACGAAAATTTTTAAAATTTTAACTTTTGGATAACTTATAAAATTATTTCATTTTAAATAGTTCAAAATTTTTAATAAAATTTTAATTTCTTTTAAATATTATATTTAAATAACATATTTTATTATAAAAATATTGCAAATTTTTTATAAAACAATTCTCGAAAAAAAATTGTGTATGAAACACGTTATTTGATTATAGAAGCAAAATGAATTGAGCACATAAAGAGACATTGAAAGAAAGAAGATAGTTGAAGGATTTGTGGGATTTTTGTTGACCAATCACTAAAATCCAATGAGAGGATTATGAATAAAACAAGAGAAAATTAATACCAAATGTGTCACCATTTATAACAAAATACGCTTTGCATTTATCATTATTAAATGCTTCACTCAATTCATTATTATCCTTCTATATTTTTTGGATTTGAATTTGCTATATCACTTTTAAACTTTTGTTGTAATTTTTATTCTAATATAAAACTTTTATATCTATATTTTATTAGAGTTTTATTTAGTTGTTAGAAGAAGTATATATTTTGAAGATGATTTTTTCATTTATTCTTTATATTATGACATCATATTTTAAAAGAGAGATCTTATAAAATTTAAGTCTTGATCTTATGATATAGTATATGATTCATATTAGATGATCTTTATATAGATTACTATTGAAAATTTTCGATTATAAAAGCTCAACTTTAAAAACCACTCAGAGGTAAAGAAAATTTCATGTTTTAATGCATGAATATTGTACAAAAATATAGATTAAAAAACTCGTGTAAAATATATTTTTTATAAATTTTATTAATAACTTTATTTGAATAAATTTTAAATTATGTTTTATTATCTGTTAGAACATTTTCATTAAAAGGATAATAACATGAGATGTTAATTTTTTTTTTACTTTTCTTATCCAAGAATATTATGAAACTTCATTTAATAATGTTATTTAGTCTTTAACTTAAAAAAATGTATTAATGTGAAATCTTTTTCTAAAGTAAAAAATGGTTTTTAATGTAAAAATAATAATTTTTATTTGTATAAATTAGAATTTAAATTTAGAACTAAATATGTTTTTTTTAATTATTTTAAAAAAAATGTGCTTCATTTTTAAATTAAATTATAAATATTTTCTCTACACACTTTATGGAAATTATGTGAAACATTATCTCCAATACATAATATGTGGAGATTATTTATAATATAACTTTTTCAAATCTTCTGTTGAGAAAAATATTTTAATTTTCATAAAACATAGAAACTAAATATTTTATAATTTAATTTTAAAAATAAAATTAAAATTTTTATAATAATTTGGAGATGAAAAAAATATATTTAACTCTACGTTTATTATCATATTACTAATATATATTTATTATTATAATATGCTAATATGATATTAGCATATTTGTAACACTAAATGTGACTCTGCAATATTATGCTTTGCATTTCAATTGTTTCCCTTTTGACAATTCTACAAAATCAATTAATTTCAATATGACATATACTCTAATGTACAATTCACCATCAAGATTAACTTGATTATATTTAATTTTATTAAAATGAATTCAACTCAAATTTAATAATGTATCCGTAGTTAATTTTGGAGAAATGTTTCGTGTGAACAAATTTGAGGTTCACATAGTTACAATTTATCATCACAGGTGGTCATCCTCGTGAAAAATAAAAAGTAAATAAAATATTACTATAGGATATAAATCAAATTAACAATTTTGGGGCAATAATTTTAATACTAAATTAGCTACTTTTGCTTTTTTTGTGAAAATTTGAGGCATTAAGATGATATGACAATGAAACTTATATTTTTTTTTTCCATTTTTTATTTTCCACTTTTGTGAATTAATAATTAGTTGTAAAAATTCTTTTAACATGTGTTAGTATTAACTAGGGTTATTCATAAGAATAAACTAGACATAAGAAAATCACATAAGAGCAAATCAATTTCTAATTACTTGACTATGTAAAATAATTTTTCCATTGGTCAAAATTAAATGTTAAAATAAAAAAAAAATGGCCTCGCTTATTTGTCAAATAACATTTTTTTTTGTGATATAATATTTAAAATAAAAATGTCCTATTTTTTTTCACTTGTTAGTAATTAGGTTTGTATTATTTGTATTGATTGAATAAGAACTTGTCAATTGATATAATATTTAATATGTTTAATATAAAAATAGTTAAAAAATAAATTTTAAACTTAATCAATCATACAAAATCAGTTTATAAGGTGAAATTTATATTAATTTATATATTTTAAATTAGTCTTATTTCTAATCAACTTGGAACTTTTAACACACTTCCTTCAAGTCAAAACATATATATTTCGAACGTGAAACTAAATATTTAATTAGTGATCGATAATGAGTGAAACGATAGATACAACAAATAATAAATTTGGTTAGGATAATTTTTAATTTATGAATATGATATTTATGTTAAGAAGTGAACTTTAAAAGCTTAACTCAATTTTACAAAATCGGTTTATAAACTAAGATTTGCACTTACCTATATGCTCAAAATTGATTTTATCTATATTTAGTACGAGACTTTCAATATAAAAATAATTATTTGTTTAAGATGGTGATATTTACCATTACTATTATATTTGTTATATCTTATAAGCTACTAGATTAAGTTAATTTAAATATTGATCATTTCCACCTGTAAGACTTAAAATATCCTTTATTAAAAAAATAATAAATAAAATATATTGACATATATTTTGAAAAGATTCAAATTTATTTTTTTTGGTTGAACTTTTTTATTACATGTCTATATTTAATCGTGTTGTTTTATGACTTGTTATTATTAATTAGAGATTAAGTTAAAGACAAAAAAAATGATAAAAAATAGTTAAATAATAAATGTTAATAACTTAAAATTACTTCAATTCGTAATATAATAAAAACAATTAAAATGGGCTTACTCATACATGAATCAAATAAGGAATTCAAAGATAGATAATTAAAGCATCTTGCATATTATTTAGTATAATCAAACTTACATTATTTATTAATGACAGAAAAAACTAACTCACTAAACATTTAAGATGGTCAACCTAGTATAATAATCATTTATTAAATATAACCTCTATGACAAGCAACGCCATTTACTCTAAACTTTTTGTGATTTTTTTGACATAAAGGTCAAAAGTTGAGTAAGTAGCATTTCTTATAGAAAGGGTTTAAGGGAAAAAGATAACTTAAAAAAAAAAGATAACATGCAAGAATGATTGTAGAGATGTCTAACACTTTATCCATTTCTTATGACAGGGTTTTTGTCATCAGGAAAATAAATCAAAGTGGTGTTCTTGCATCTGGGGCAATGGTGTTTATCCTCATTGATCATCATATACATGAGACAATTAGGGCATCCCACTAGTTTAAGGGAAATAGCTTCTGGGTTGTTAGGGTTTTCAACATTGTTGTTGTTACTGTCATCTTGGTTAAGCTCAGTGGACACACATGAGTTTGATGGTGATGCTGGTAAAACTGCTGGTGATTGAGTTGCAGATTGATTGCTATTGTCAACTATCCTTGGTGGAGATAGGTTCAAATTCAACCCAAGTTCTGCAGCATTTTCATTTCTGTCACTCATGGTTCTGAATATTTTGCTGAAGTATGTCAGTTTTTTTCACTTGAATTTTTAGATAATGAATTAATACACATAAAAATATATAAACTAAGTTGAGTATTTATATACCTTAAAATCCCACAAAGAGCAAGGTTTGGCTAAAGGTAATTGAAGTTGTGAAGGAAAAAAGAAATATCAGGATGAAAAGAGAAGATGTAAGAAGCTCCAAAACCAACAATGTGATGTGTGTTAAGGGATTGACCTTATGCCTTTTTATATGATTAAAATGGAGTGGTTGAGTTAATGCAATTACTTTGATAAGAGCGAAATTTATTTCTTTTTCTTCTCACGTTACTTTTATCAGTTGAGAATTAATTGGTAATAATAATTTATTGAGTTATTAATATTTGTTTTTATTAAAATCTAGAATATGACTTTTCATAATAACAAATGGCAAGATAAGAGTGAATTGAAAAATTCAAACGTATATTTTTTAGAGTTGAAAAGTGAAAAAATAAATTATTTATAAAAAAATATTTAATATTCAAGTAAATAAGAAAATTTAAATTTTCTATAAATATAATAATAGGTTGAAATATTATGAATACAATATTAATTTAGAGAATAAATTAGAAATAACAAAATGAAATAAAAGATAATAGCAACCAATGCAATTTACTCTTTTATTTTTCGTGTAATAATTGTATATTGTATTAGGTTTACTCCATTTGTTTATTTATTTATGACTTGTATTGATTGAAGAGACTGACATTTTGTGGAATATTTAAGATTGTTGACTAGATAAATGCATCTATTTATTAAATATAATTTTCGAGTAAAGAGATGACTTCATTAAAGAGAAATTATCATCTATTACGACATCATGAATGTGATACTATATTATTTTTTAGTCCTTACCTAATATAACCATTAAAAGAATTTCACTTGCTTCAAAGTTCATTCGTATATTGATTCTCTACACTCAAAATGATATGTTTAAGCTAGCATGAACATTAGTAGTTGAGAATTGAATATTGATACGCTGTCGTTGAAGCTATCAAATTAATATTACTTTTCAAGGCAACTTCAGTATTGCCAAGTAGTATTCAAGAAGGTAGATAGGGCTAAAGTAACCCTGAGTCATCTCCCAACGAACACGGAATTGCTTTTTAATATCTGACTCTTACGGAATGTTATGCAATGCTTATAGATAAAAGTAATGTTTGGAGAATGTTTAAATAACAAATAAGAAACTTAAAAACAGTTACGATGAAATAGGCTAATTCCACTACTTTTCCAAGATAAATTCATCATCGGTTATTCACTGATAATTGTTCAATTGATTATTGTTTAAGTTTCAAATTAATTAAAGTATATTCTTAATTAATTTGAGGGTGATCATGCATTTAACCAAAGTAAATTCTCAATCAAATGCAAAACCTTTCTAGATTATTCACAATAAATTCAACCAAAGTACATTCTCAATCAAATTCTATTGTGTTTAATCATGTCTATTCTTAAATCTCCTAACCAAATTAAAAGCTAATCAGTAATTCTCAATTGATTATAGTTGAAATTATTACTAATCAATCAAAGTACATTCTCAATTGATAGTAAAAACCATTTAATCATATGAAAGTTCCTAAATTAAATCAAAGTATATTCTCAATTTAAACCTAGAAACCCTAAAACTCACATAATCAATAGAAACCCTAAAACTCATATAATCAATATGCATGTAGATTCAAACACATTATGATGCAAAAATCTTTGCTTTTAACAAGATAGAAAGATGAAAGATATAGAGAGAACAACTTAAATCAATAATCAAAGTAAACAATTGCATTAACTGAACGTAACCTCAAAATCCGTCATGGAATTACAGCAGAATAGCCCTATGCATGTAGATTCAAACACATTATGATGCAAAAATCTTTGCTTTTAACAAGATAGAAAGATGAAAGATATAGAGAGAACAACTTAAATCAATAATCAAAGTAAACAATTGCATTAACTGAACGTAACCTCAAAATCCGTCATGGAATTACAGCAGAATAGCCCTAGATGCTTAGCTCTCCATGAATGGAGTTGAATACGAGATGAAAGAAAAGTAAGAGGAGTATGAGAGAATGAATGAATTAAGTGAAGTCCCTTTTTCTGCCTCCCTTGGGTCTCTTTATATAGGCTTGATTGGGCTTGGACTCTGAATAGTTTGTTGATAAGATATTTTCTGTTGATATATTATATCTTTCAAATATTCATTAGATTAAATCAGTTTTAAAGAATATTTGATAGATATTAATTCAATTATCTTATATCCTATATCTTCCAAATAACTAAAAGATTTAGATAATGATAAAATTATTTGGAAGATATTTTCTGTTGATATTCCCAAATTAAATTCAACAACTGAATTTTATCTTTTAGATTTTCTGACTTTCCAAAATTGCACAAATATCCTGAAATTTCCTCTATCTGCACTTTAGCCCCTTCTGAATGTTTCAAATAAAATCTGATTTTGGGCCTTGAATTGCCATTTGGACCAATAAAACTTATATTCTTAGCTGCACAAATAAACATTAGAACATTCAAGAATAATTTATGCACTAAAACTCACTTTTTACGTCTCTTTCTTTCCCAAACCCAACCATTCCAATCATCACAAATTCACTTAAAATCAACCATTTAAGCACAATTATTTCATCAAAAATTTAAATTTTAAATCATAAATGTGGGCATAAGTATGCACTCATCAAATATCAACACATATTTTCTTTGTAAGACAAATGAATAACTTTTATTGGAATATATGACACGTGTTCTTCAAGTGTTTTTTTATTTTTTTTTACACTTGTCCATCACATGTCTCATTTTACATAAACATTTACTTATCAATCTCGTATATTTAATCTTCAACATATCATTTTCTCAATATAAATCTAAATTACTAAATTAGGTTCCCGTATCATAATTTTTGTACTTTTAAGAAATTTTTTCAAAATTTTTATAAGAATCAGGAAAACCATAATTTTTTCTTGATAGATTTGATTCACAAATCTAATATATCATTACAAAGTTAGAGTAGTAAAAATTCATTTATTCGGTTTACATTTCCCATTTGATCTTAAATCTTACTATTTTTTTAGTAACAAATTTTTTTATTATGATTTGATTCAAAAGATAAAGTCCATAATTAAAGAAACAAATTTACAGTTTAGAAATCATAAATTATAGATTTTGATCCAAATCAAAGGTAAAAAATTGGTTTGAATTTTACTTCATGTTCTAATCAAAATATAATATAATTTTTACGTTTGATTCAAACGTATATTTGAAAAAAAAAAATCAACAGTACAGCAAACATCTTATATTTAACTTGGATTAAATGCAATTTAGTTCAATTTTTGGTTTTAGTGTGTTTGAACTTTTCTCTTTTCTTTTGTTCATTACTCAAGCTCCAAAATTGCGTTTTTACAAAATTACATTCATCCTGAAGAAGTTGTCGTAATTGGATTTGGGTAATGGATATATTTTAACTTCAATTTACACATTGTTATGTATTTATAAAGTGTAGGTTTATAACTTAATTATCTAAAAAATTGAATAAATTAACAAAGATTTATCTTTTTTCTTTTTACTAGTGTAGAAAATAGTTTTGACATCAATAATATGTGATATTTTGTTTCGGTTGTAGAACTGAAGCATATTTAGACGAAGTAAAAGAGTAGTCTTTTAGCATTTGTATAGTTTCAATTTTATAAAAACAAAAACCTATAATTTTGTACCATGGTAAAATAATAAAGAAAATAACAACAATTTTAAAATTTCACACACTTTTGAATCTCGGTTGTAAAAGAATCGAAACTTATTAGTTCACAAAAATTTTAAAATTTTTTAAAATTGTTACTTTATCTTTATATGTTTCATTCGCTTCAAATTTGAAATATATTATAGGATTTTAAAAATCAAAATTGCAATTAAATTTCAAGCTTAAGTTTTAGTTTATTTCTAAATTGACTTTATTTAATTACTCTTTAGAATCTTATATAGGTTTAAACATCTTTAATCACACATATTTCATTTATATTCTAATATATGATTACTTCTAGGAATGTTATTCTTAAAAAACTGATTAGAGAGTTGAAAAAAAAAATAATGTGTAGGACCATTAGGTGTTCTGTATCTTCTTAATTTTCCTTTGGTTTTTTAATGATTTTTGAATGAACTTTCATAGAAGACACTATGGATTTTACTGACATGAATTGAATTTAAAAACTGAATTGATTACATAGAGATAGAGAAGGTGTGACCGTTAACCTGAATTAATTATTTTTTTATGCTTAACTTAGTAAGTATTTTCTTGAGATGGACTGATTCATCGGTAAGTTGAGGTAAAATCAGGATTAAATTAAGAATAAAATTAATCCAAAGAAAAAACAACTCCAAACTGGTATTTTCATTTAATGAACTTTTTGATTATATTACTGTGGTAATTTTGATGAAACATGCTTTAAAATTAAACGATTTTTTGTTTTTAGCATCTTATAAGAGATATGTCATATAAATTATCCGTTTGAACAACTTAGTCGGTGGTAAACTCATTAAAAATGAATAAAATAAACATATGTAAACTGATATAAACATTTATTGAGTATAGAATTAATATTTAGTAATTTTAATGAACATATGTTGACATCATATAATATACATAGAGAGATTAAAAATATAATATTAATTAAAGAGTAACATTATTAAATACAACATATAATATAAAATATTGGAGTAAGTTAGGTCAACAAAAGTATTAAATGTAGCATTTAGTTTATGAACACTAAATGTAAAATTTAATTTATAAATACTAGTTGAAAAGAAACTCTTCAAATCTTTATATATTTAAATAAAAAAAATAATGGATGATTATATGATAGTATTTTTAGTATTTGAAGTATTCATTTTTATTTTTATTTTGTTTTAATTTAAAAAATTAAGAATAAAATAAGAATATGAATATATATCTTCTTTAA